AATTAATTTGGTCAAAGATTTTGTTTTATTTTTAAAACCAGTTTTGTGTAATTCATAGTACATAAATATGTGTATAACAAATTATATAAATACTATAGTGAATAGATAATTCTAAAAGAAAGTTTTCAAGATTTAGAGTATAAGATGAATTACTTGGAGTTCTTTGTAGCAGGCTTTTAATTCACCTAATTCTAAACCTTCTGAACTAACCAAAAGGCGATTACTACTACTTTCTACCTGCTTAATGGCTTCCACGGCGACGGTTTCATATTTTTCAATCTTTTTTTCCAGTTGGGAAATTTCTTTTTTTAGAGTTTCTATTAAATATAATAAGTTATAATGGTTTTGTGCCAATTGGTCAGTAAAGTTATTATATATATTGTTTTAATGTACAGTAACTTTGTGAAGAATAATTTGAATTTTGTATAAATTAATAAAGTTAATTAGTAAGTTTCATACTAAAAAGTATATATGATGTATATGTATAAGATAAGGTTGTAGAAGAGTTTAAAATGCTCTAATATTTAGAAATTACAGATTAAGAGTCTGTATATACTGTATGTTTATAATACTATTTTTAGAAACAGTAATGAAAGCAGATAGAATGGTGATAAATTTAGCTTTGAATAAACAAGATTAGAGTTTTGTTTAAACTTGAAATGTATATAATATAGAGTTATTAAAAATTTGAGTCTATCTAATATCTATTAAGCATTGTAAAGTATCCAAATCAATAACAGAACCATTTGTATAAAGTGAAGTTCTAATAGATTAGCATTATAGTTGGTTATTTGTTGAAGGTTATATGTAAGTAGACTAAGTTCAAAAATTACAAGAATTGATTAAATAAAAATAGTAATATTTGGAAGGTCTGAAATTTGAATAGAATGCTGAATTATAATAGAATATATAAGATTGAGATAATTAGCATTAAATTTAAGAGTTTTGTTATAGGTATTAACTTAATCTAAAAATTAAGTTGAAAGATTGATAAAAATAACAATTGTATATTTGTTAACAATTATTTGGAAATTGAGAGAGCAGCCAAGGCATATATAGAATTGAATAGGTAGAAGAGAATAAAGTCAAGTAAATTGTAATTTAATATTATATTGCCAGTAGGTAATAAGAATAAATTCAAATGCTGAAGATTATTTTCTAGCTTTTTTAACAATAATTTGGTTATCAAATACAATAATAAGCTATAGTTTTTTGTATGATGAGAAGTGTCCAGGTTTTTTTTATTTGTATTTAAAGAAATAATTATATAATTAGCAGTTTAATAATTAATCTTAACTGCAAGTGTTAGTCCTAACTATAGCATTTATATAAAAAATTACTTTTTGTACATAGCAATTTTATATAGTTGCTAACTTTTAAACTATTAATAAAAATACAATTAAGGTCTTATCTTAATACTAAAAAAAAAATAATTTATTAAGTACTATATATTAAATAATTTTTTAAAAAAAATTTTTAACAAATTTAAAATATTATTTTAACATTTTTTTATTTAAAAATTTTTGTATTATTTTAATAAAAAATCTAATATTAAACTTTTTATTATAATTAATTTTTTTATTTCATATAATTTACTTATAACTTTATAACTAAGAGGTGTGATGACTTAGTGAAGTAGATAAGTTTTCAACCCCTCAAGTAGTAGGTTGTGAGTTCAAAACCCACTGATGGTGAAAATTTGAATAATTACCTATGTGATATATAAACAGTATTATGTCAACAGCATTCTGTTGATCAGTTGAGATAGGATACTTGTAACTATGATCACACCAGCATGACTGACAGGTCATGAAGTATCTGTGTAACCTTGGTTACACAGAGGAATGCAAACTGGTACTGGGCAGTGCAAACCTAAAATAAGTCCTTGTGGCTATATAAATTTGTAGAACTGAAAAACTGGAGCCCACTTGGAAAGACCTGAGTAAAGAGGTAACATGGATCTTTGATAATACTACTGTAAAGGCTAGATCTAGAAAACAGATACCAATGTAGAGAAGCCGAATGGGTAAAAACCTTAGGTAAGGATACTACCAACCAGGCCACTAGAACTGAACTGAAGGAAAAGGATATTGGGCTGGCTCGATATATCAAGGACAGGTCACAGTCCTTCCAAGCTATCTGGATTAGGAGTCTGGAGTTAAAGCAGGAGTATACTATAAGTACTAGGGATATGCTGTGAAGTAGGTGCTAGGGTTTGGGTAAATTTTACAAGGGCTAGCCTTGTTAATGTTCCATAGAGTAGATAGGTAGTTAACAAGGAGGTACCCTGAAACCTTACAGTTAGGTAACATATTCTGAAATGTTTAACAGCTTGATGGACATACAAAAGGGGAAGCTAAATGTTGGGTTAGATGGCACTTAGTTGTACAGGAACCAGGTGTTACTCGTCTAAGTGTAGTATAAGGATCAGAGTATTTAAATAGGTACTCTTCTAGTAGGTTACAGGCATAGCAGCTAGTGTAGAACCCTTGGGCAGACTACTTAAAATAGGTAACCAAAAGTTATACATATGGCTAGTTGCACACTTACTTTATATAAGTCACATGTAATGTATTAACCAAAAACACAAATAAAGACAATAGCAACTAATAATATCGGCTTTAAAAAAAAAAAAAAAAAAAAAAAAAAAACTTTATAACTATATAATTTATAATCTTATAACTTTATATACATATATATAACAAATAGTATAAGTTTTAATATTTTTGTAAACTTATGATTTTTTTTATAACAAAAAAAAGATTATAAAAATTAATAAAAAATACAAAGTTGTGATCTTACAATCTTTTTTTGATATGTTATTTATATTTGTATTAAATAAAAATAATAAAATACTTAAATAGTAGATCATAATTGAAAGATATAAATTTTATAATAAAAATTAGTAAAGAATTACTATTACTTTTATATAATATTAGAATGTTAAAATTTCTAATATTATTTTTTTTAGTTTGAAGCTGCAATCTTGTCTATATATCTTTTATTAAGTAATATATAATTATATATAATATATATAGACTATTAATAAAAATACAACTAATCATATGTATAACTTTAATCATTATTTAATTAAGAGTTTCACCTACAGATTACCCACTAGATGCCATACCTGAAACCTGTCTGTAAGTCTCCTATTTAAACTTTCTAATTTTCAATACTATTTTTGTATATATATATAATACTTACATTACTATTGTAATGACATTTGGATTAAGGTTATCTAATTATTATTTATATCTAAATATCATCTCATTGAATGTTACTAAGTATCTATAATTCTTCAAATTTATCCTCAATGAGACTTACTAAGTATGGTACCAAGATTACCTCTTAGATTTATCCAATTTAATGTATTTCATATCTACTAAATTGGTTTTAGTGTTAAAGGTATTCAAATTTCAATAAATTTATTTTTTTCTTATAGTTTCTTTTTATGTTCATTGTATTATCTGTTAGTGTGCCTTCTCTCTATTTCTAGTATGTTCACTGCTTCTTTCACATCAAGCACCAACTTTTCATATTAAGAAACTTCTTTCTATAAACTTTTTTATATATTGATCTTTTATTTATATAAACTTAAGCCACAAAGCTTTGTGTACATTCATATGCTTCTGTAGATTACAGACTTTTGCTTTCACCTAGAATTGAACTGTTGACCTTGTCTGTGAAGGGAGGGGCGCCTAGACCACTAGACTACGGGACCCTATCTCCTAAGTTCTAACATTATGTAAAAAACATATAATTATAAAAAAGAAAATGCGATCTACCAAACAAATTTAAATAATTTTACTACTATTAGAACCGGAAACACTTATTCTGTAATATTTTGTTATAAACTTAAGAAAGGTTTACTTGACATAAAAAAAACTTTTCATTGTAAGCTAACTGCATTCCAACCCTATAGAAAAATCATAATAACTTCCAAAAAATTTTATATAATTTTTCTTGATCTCAATTACAAGGTAAACTCGTTATAGTAAATAATATGGTTTATTAATAAATAAAAATCACTATATCAAAAGTTTTATTAAAATAACAACGCTATAACAAAAGTAATTTCAATTGTAATTTCAATTGTAATCATGATACGATAATTATTAAGTTGATCAACCAATCATGATAACGTATTGGTGCGCCACAATTATCATGTGGCAGTAAAATTCTGGTGGCGATCGAGAGGAAGATTTTTGGTAGGGTAGTTGTTAATTTCGGCCCAGTCGATCACGATTCTGATGTATTACGACCTGAGATCTTGCACTATTGTAAAACTATCTCAAGAAAAATAATCTCTAATTTAACTACTTTCTGCTAAATCTTCTAACCATTCCATATATAGGTAGCCAAGAGTAAATTACCGTATAGGTGTGAAATGACGTTCATGAGCATTATTTTAAAAATCAGTTCAAAAATAGCATATCGATATCGATATATGATTAACGCCATCTAATATCGATATAACTATGATGAGGTAATGGCTACCTAGGATTTCAAAAATTTTATTGGTTTAAATTTGTGAATATTTACTATTTATTGGCGTTAAGAGATTTATTAGTTCAAGTGTCTAAAACCAACTACATTAACTATTTAATAAGTCTAAATTTTTTAAAAAATTGACTGATTTAGTCTACTAAGTAAATTTTATCGGATAATACCAAATCGACAACATTATACATCAAATAATATCAATTAATTTTCCTTTGTCTATTAAAGTGGGTAAGACTTTAAATTATTCTCACATGACTGGACAAAGCCCAGAATGATTTGCACATAAGTGTATTAAACGTTAATGTTTTTTTTTTTAACGAAACAAAAACAAAAAAGGGGGCGTTTTGTTTATGTACAGAATTAAATAATAATTAAAATCTTTAAACTGAAAATACATATTAAAAACAAGTTTGAAGATATTAGAACATATAAATACAAAAAAAAAAAAAAAAAAAAAAAAAAGAAAAAAAAAAAGATTATATATAAAGAAATTTCTAAGCAGTTAGTAATTGAGAATCAACAATTTTTTTTGAATCATTTTGACGTTGTTTTTTAGGTTCATTTTTTGGATTATGTTGATTAGGAATTTGATCACCAAAAAGTCTAGCAACAAATGATGAAGCCATATTACTTTCAACTTGTTTTGAAGATAATTTTTGTTGTTGACTTCTTCTTCGTTTTAATAAAATTCCATTTCCATCTCCCCTTACAGATTTATATTTTTTCTTATCAGTTTGAAGATAACAAATTAAAATGACTAAGATTATTAAACAAATTATATTTAGCCACATAAAAATTAAATTCGCGGCTCTAATCTCACATGCTTCCTTAATATTTGGTGAAGTGTACGGATATGATCGTGGGCATGAAAAGGGAATAGGTGATATTTCAGAGTAAGTTAATGCTGTGTAGGTTGCTTATATAAATATATATATATAAAAGGTTAAATAAGAAAAATGAAAATGTTTCATAAAGTTTTATAATAAAATAATAATAAAGTTATATAAAATAATAGTTTCAAAATAATAACATACCTGGAATTATTAACAAAAAAACGGTAGCGAAACTATAAAAAAAAAATATATATATATCATATATATCACATGATGGAATCAATTATACGTAATTTAAATATGATTAAATTTAAATATAAACAAAGAAATTAATATAAAATTCTTGCCTATATAATTTGTTACATTTACAGTTGTGATTACAGATACAACAAAGACATTCAAGAATTACTAATGCTAATTAATATAAAATAATAAAAATATTTAAATAAAAATTATAATAAATGAATATTTAAGAGAATATAAATAATTTTAAACAAAGTTCGTACGTACTGACTTGTGCAATCGTAAATACAAGATATCTAACCATTACAAAAATTACGGCAAAGATCCCTCGTTATTAGTAATCAAAGTCATAAACTTAAAAAATTTTGTGGGGAAAAATTCATCCTTACGGAATTTCTATGAATTCGTTATATTTAAGTTCTCCGTTTGATTGATCAAACGTTGTGATCTTTTGATATTCTATTCTTATATGGTAAGTTATTATAAAAAAGTACGTAGGTATGTATGTTATGTATGTATGTATGGAACAAGAAAGAGAAAATACATAATGATGGCAAATATGAACATAACACGTGTGAACAATAACATAAAAAACATGTATATATTTATTATTAACATTAATAATAATAAAAAAAACAATTCGTTAACTTACCAAGGACAGGACAGACAAATGTAAAAATGAAACTTGGTACTAATAAAAAACTTAGTAATTGTAATTTATGCTGACGATTCATGATGAAAAAAAAACACTTGGTGTGTATTTAATTTTTTGTGCACCCGCTTTAATTCTACCACGTTGATTTTAGACCATTGGCAAGGACACTTATTGATTATCAAAGAAAAAATGTACAACTACGTGTAAGAGAGAATTATTCTTGGTTATAGATATATTTCATAGCCATCCCACTGCCACAAAAAAAGCGGCTAGCCACAGAGGAATTGATTACCACCTGGCTGTGTTAAGCTCGGTAAAAGTATATGTGGACAGTTTATAAATAAAAAAGATGCCCTGAATTAATTTAATAAAGTTCTAATAAATAACGATAAAAAAATAACGATAAAAAATAATGATAAAAGAGAGTTTCATAACGATAAAACAATTATCGATAAAAGAGAATTTCATAAAGATAAAACCAATTATTAACTATATATTAGTTATTAAATTTTAGGTATATATACTATATTAAAATGAGTCACACCAAGTTAAATCTTGATAATAATAATAACTACGCGTCAATAGTGTAGCGCGTGAACAAATGAGAATAGGTTTAACATACCTCCTATTCAATGTACCTACTCAATGTTTAGTTCTTATTTCTTTATTCTTTGACTGTTAACTTTGAATGTTAATAAATATTATTAATAAAATATTAAGACCTTTTTCTTCAAACTTCAAACCTAAGAATATAGTATAGAATACATCTCGAAACCTTCGTGTTAACAACAGTCACAATAAAATAAATGCTTGTTTATTCATAACAATAATCACAAGCTCATAAAACATCAAACATTAGAGCTTTGATATTTTTTTGCATTTATAATTCCTAAGATTTTTGCGATCAATGTTATATATAAGATGCTTATGATCAGTGTTGTATATAAGACAATTACGACAAAAATTTAAAAGCAAAAAAAAAAAAAAAATTTTGAGCTTTTAAAAAATGTCGATAGCACAAACTTTTATTAGAATACCCTTTTAATTAAATATAATCAATTTTATATACTTTTTTTTGATTGTAAAAAAATTGATATCGATATTAATGTGACGGAACGGACGGAAAAGATCAAAGACTCATGTCAGTTAAAAACACTGCCTACAGTGTCTGTCTGTCGATAAATGGTCTTTCACGCTTATACACAAATCGATAACTATTCTACCAAATTAATTTTGACATAACGATAAGGATTATAACATCTAACATACCATTTAATACCATTTATTCGATAAAAAGATCTTTTTAATCAGTTTAGCCTCACGAGGCTATGATTTATTTATAAGGACATATATCGATATTGAGGATTTATATGATGCAAAAGCACGTAAATTATGAAAAAAAAATACTTAAATAACAATAAATGGTCGATCTAATAAATTAAAGAACTTGCGCGTCTGATTGATCACTGGTTCTTTTCAATATTAATTATTGTTTTCGATTTTCGATTGATTTATTTTATTATTTTTTCTTTTTTTACGAGATTATTTTTTTACATTTCTTTGGGATCGAATTATTGTGTAATTATTTTACTTTTTTTTTTTTTTTTTTTTTTTGTGTAATCCATCATTCTCAAAGAGTTTTTTTTGATGAAAAGCCACGAACGGATAATAAAAAATAGAGGAAACATAAATTGGAGTAAATCTTAAATCTTTCACTGTCATAACAATAATGTTTCGGTATCAAGAATTACTATGTGTAGGCGTAATACTTACACCAAGTTTTGTTCTGTTATGTGTTTGTCCCATCTTAGGTAAGTATGTATTGTACTTTCTGTTTCTTTTCATTCATTTTTTCAGTTCTTTCAAGATTTTATTTCTGTTTGAAATATATTAAAATGAATGAATCTTAATATATGAAATATGATTGGTTCTTAAGAATATTAACTATCCCATTGTTAACTTTACAAGAAATACTGAAAATTTCGCTATTTAATCAATCTAACGGAGAACTCCAATATAATATATGGGTTGAATATTTGTAAGTATATGGTCTTAATTATTATTTAAGAGAAAGAAGAAAAAGAAGAAAAAGCTTGTTTTAGAAAATTAACTTTTTTTCGAATAATTTGAAATAGATATTTAGCAATTTCGTTCTCACTAATTGGTAAGCGCTCTGTCCCTATTCTTTCATCGTCTTTTTCGTCGATCGTATAAATCATCTTTTTTTTTAAAAAAAAAAAAAATTTATAGTTATAGATATATTCCTATGTGGATGTTGTTGTTGCCTTGAACTGACCAATTTAAATTATAAATACAAGTATAAATGAATTTTCGATTCTTCTGATTATCATTATATACATATATATATATATTTTTTTTTTAATTTAAAAAATTCTACATTTCCAGATTGGCCACACTATTATGGTTGATCATTCCAAGTAGGTCTATCTTTTCATTATGTTCATTAACCAAAAAAAAAACTTCATTCGTCTGATAAAAAAAAAAAACAAAAAAAAATAAAAATAAAAATAAAAAACAAAATAAAACAACCAAACAATAACAAAAAAAAAACAAAAAAAAAAAAAAAAATGTAAAATTGTGATTAGCACTCTATACATTAGCAACATACAAAGAACTAGGCAACATTCCATCAGATTGTCCATCAAACTATCCTTATACTTCCAGTATAATTAAAGAAGCCTGCGACATTCGATTAACCAACCTAATCTGCATGTGGCTAAATTTCATTTTCTTGATCTTATTCATGATATCATTATGCACTTTAAATTATCAAAGATTTGATGTAGGACATGAAATGGATAACAGAGGTTTACCTGAGATGGAAGATCTTTATGCTCCGAGAAAACCAGGTGATGAATTTTTAACTGTGGATACTTCCAAGACGTATTTTGATCAGGAAATGACAAGATCTCCTGGGGATCTGCATCATGATTATTAACGATAATTTAAGTTACGTATTAAAGAATAAATAGAATAATAAATATATCGATATAGAAGAAAAAATCGAATTTTATGTGCATACATCCATATATATATATATATGTATTATATATATATATATTATATATAGATATATATGTATTATATATATAGATATATAAATATATATTTATATATTTATATTCTTTTAGTATATATTGTATATATTTTATTTTTAAATTTAGTCACTATATAACTAGATTACACAAGTTTTTCTTTTTTTAAAGAAAAACTCATTTCATATCGATGTCAAAATTTTTTTTTTTGTTAAAAAAGTGCATTTATTTCTTTTTTTTCAAAAGAACTTTTTTTTTTTTTGAGATTAGAATTTCTTGATTAAAAAAATTTAAAAAGTTATTTCTTGAATAAAATAGGATTTTACTTTTAGAAAGAACTTGATTAAAATTTATTAGTCTCGTTACATTATTAATAAAAATATATTGCTACAATTACAAAATAATCTAATTTTATCACCAAGAATTAGTACGTACTCTTTACGTAGCTAATAAAATTTATCTAATACGCATATACATACGCATATATATACGTATGTACATCCGTACATGCGTTTTTTGTTTTTTTACTATTATTACAATATGTGAGTACAATTACATACCAATAATGTTTGAATAACTAAACTCGTTATATTATTTATGTACGTAAAATTAGTCATCAATAACAAACTTGGCACTTGTAGGGGTTTTTACGTTTACGTCCAAATTAATATAATTTAATCTTTCAAGATCATTTGTGTGATTATTTGATTTGCTTACTTTATTTAATCAAATTAATCATATCGATACGTATTAGAAAATGAAAAAAAATTGGTTAGTGACAATTTGCATAAATGATAAAAACGATAAAAATGATAAAAATAATAAAAATGAATGAAAATAATACATACATAATTCCTTTAGACCTTTTCCAAAATTTCTCAAAACAAGAATTCCATATATGTACGTTCCCTGGATCAATTAAGAAATATATTCATATATAATTTAGATAATTAAAAACGTAAAACAAATGAAAAAAAAAGATTGAATTACTAACAACATATATTCCAAGCCAAAATAATGTTGACGGAAGGACTAATTCATTGGATTGATTAATTAGATTAATTAATTGGATTGATTTGTTAGATTAATTAATTGAATTAATTAATTGGATTAATTAATTGGATAGATTGATTAGATTAATTAATTGGATATATTGATTAGATTAATTAATGAGCGTTAGATTATTACATACCAGCAAGGATTAAATAGTCCCATTGAGTAAACTCATAATCAAAACTTAAAACAGAGTTTGAAATATTTGTAACCAAATCAATTATAACAGCAACTATAACATATAACCACAGTATTGAAAATACTATCATTCCGGGTTTCCATTCAGAATGTACCTATTATGTAATATAAATATAATTTGATTAATATTATCTGAAATTGTTAACCTTTTATGAAAAAAAAGGTTTAATAATAATAATAATAATAATAATAATAATAATAATAATAATAATAATAATAATAATAATAATAATAATAATGATATTTACAGATTTATATGCCAATATTACAAGAAAAAAATTTGTAAAGGATGCAGCAACATGAATCATGGTTATAATAGTTGATTCTTCTTTAAAGTTTTGGTATACATAATTTCCGAGATGAATATATGGAACAATAAATGAGAATAGGTAAAGAAGGATAGTGAAGATATTCATTTTTAGAAATATCATAAAGATCAAATATTTCTTATATGAATCTAAAAAAAAAAAAAAAAAAAAAAAAAAAAAAAAAAAAAAATTTATTAATTTAAAAAAAAAAAAATAAAAAAATAAAAGAAAAAGTATATTTTTTTTTTACCTCTCATCTTAAC